TTAAAAACTAACATTGAAACTCTGGTATCTTTCCCCAATTGTTTATTTATTTGTTGTGTTACTTGAGTCGGTTATAGAGCTACCTCTTTGATACAACTAACCACATTAGGCTTGGTGCTAGCGCTCATTCAACTGTAATAATCTATCACCATACATGTTACTTTATCCACCTGAAATTAGCTATGTATTAGAGGACCAGAAGCATTATGATTTTGTAATGTTACCAGAAAAGAAAAATTAGATTGCTGACTAAATCCATTCATAAATTAATTTGCATGATGCTTACTGTTTTATGGTTGGTGTTTAGGATCTGCTTCTTTGTCATTGGTCTGGCTTCATAAATCACCTAGGTTTTAAACCAATTCTTCAATCTATGAAATAAGTGCTTTTGATTCAGAAAAGACTGACGTGGTGATAGATTCCCTGTGACCTTTTTACATCTTGGTAATTGATATGTGAATGGTTACATGCCTACACCCAGCTGTGACTACCAGCTATGTATTTGATTCTATTTAGCTTTATTGAAGATTGTATTTGGTATTTGTAGGAAACTTATAACTGTAGGTCATTACTTTTTTCTTCCCCACAATTTAAACCTTCTATTGTTTATGCATTCTACCACCATTAGCATTTTCCTGGAGTTTCTGATATTGTTAAGCTCATAAAATAAGACCAATCATAGTCCAACTAGCTGTCTAAATCTTTCATATTCTCAACCGAGCCTATATAAGATGTCACAATATGGATAAAATGTCATCTTCAATCTTGTAGGTTTGACGAAAGAATAAGTTCATTTGCTGAGCAGAAGTTTTTGAGAGATGGTATAAAAGTTCAGACTGGATGCCGGGTTGTCAATGTTGGGGACAAGGAAATTACAGTGAAGGTGAAATCAACAGGAGAGGATTGCTCTGTGCCCCATGGATTGATTGTGTGGTCCACAGGCATTTCAACTATTCCAGTTATAAGGGACTTTATGGAAGAAATTGGTCAGGTGCTGCTTAATTCCATGCATTTCTGAAGCACAGTTCCCCCACCCTTTCTTCTTCACTTCTTGTGTGTGTGTGTGTGCGTTTGTGTGGGGTGGGGAAGATAGCGCAGGATTTTTATTATATTTTATCTGATCCAATATGTAATTAATGGTTTTCTCTTGGCTTAAAATCTCAATTAACTATTATATGGATAATTGTATACGTTAGGATTGCTCTATGTGCAGGCTAAAAGGCATGTACTAGCAACTGATGAATGGTTGCGAGTGAAGGGATGCAAAGATGTGTATGCTATTGGTGATTGTTCTACAATAAATCAACGTAAAATCATGGTATTTCTTAAGCCTTTTGTCAGGCTATTTTTAGACTTCTAAGCTTAATTAATACGTCATTGTGCTGCATCCTTATCCAAATTAATAGATTTGACCCACTTTACATGGATTTGATGAAATTAAAAGCTCATTTTTTTATTGTTTTCTGATATGTTCAACAAAGACATTACATGTACTTACTAATTGCTATGATTTTCATCTTGTGATGAGAATGGACGAAACTACGAGACGTTTAGTCAGTTATTTAAATCACGATTGAATTTATCTATGTCATAATTAACTCATTACCTTTGTTTCTAGGATGATATCCTAGCCGTATTTGAGGCTGCAGACAAAGATCACTCTGGTACCTTAACTGTTGAAGAATTCCAGGATGTGATGGATGACATCCTCTTAAGATATCCACAAGTCCAACTATATCTAAAGAGGAAAAATCTGCTTGATTTCCACACTCTGTGGAAAGATTCACAGGGGAATGAAAAAAAGGAAATAGACATAGAAGGGCTTAAGCTGGCCCTTTCTCATGTAGATTCTCAGATGAAGAATCTGCCAGCAACTGCACAGGTATGCATCATTTCACCTGTTTCTGAATTCTTGCTTACGCAGGCTCTTTTTGCTTTCAAATATTTTGTATGCATCAAGTTTTTGATGTATCGATATATCTAGGTTGCTGCCCAAGAGGGTGAATATCTAGCAAGATGCTTTAACCGCATGGATCATTGTGAAGAGCATCCTGAAGGTCCTCGACGATTTAGAGGATCTGGACGTCATAAGTTTCTTCCCTTCCGGTAAACCATATACTTAATGATGCTTATAATTGTGTTTTCTGTTTTTCCTGTCTTTGGAGTGGAAATTGCAAAATTGTCTGCTTTATCTGAACAAGATACCCGGGAAGTCCAATATAACTGTTAAATTGGTCTCTCATCCCAGTAGTGATTGCTTCAAATTTGAAAGCAGAAGTTGATAAGAAACACTGCAGTAACACACACATAAGTGAAGGATTAGATGTCCATTTATGTGAAGCGTGCACTCTACGGTCTATGCCACAATGTAAGATTCTTCAGAAAATGTAAATTGCTAATGGCTTGTATGGCAACTGATAACAAATAATTGTTTTGAGTTGAAGTCTTGTGCATTAACATCCCTAGGCAGGATCTTTTTCTGCTTCTTGACATGAAGCATTTTGTTTTTACTTGAAACCATGTTCCTATGATGAGTTTGACTTTATGGTCTGTGACATATCAGACCTATTGTTCTAGGATATAGCAAATGTGTTTTTTATGTTAAACATTTGTGAAAAGATAAAAAATTTGACCGATTCAGAGATTAATCTCTCTTTCGTTAGGCAAAAACTGAAATGCACCTTGGTTAAAAATATATTTTATGACGAGGTATGAAGATTGAAGAGGGCATCTAACCAAAGGATAGGGCATAACACATAACGGCTATGATTCAAAATTAAACACTAATTCAGTGAAATTATGTTTTGAGAACCGTTTTGGATTAGCTTTTCCTCTTATCAAAGACATAATAGGTAATTTTATTTTTTTTATACCCTTTGCTTCTTTTTTTATGCCCTTTGTTTCTTTTATCCCTAACTAATTAGTGAGAGGCTGGTTGCTTATTGTAAAAAAGGTATAAGCATTTTGGGCAATTTGCTCCACTGGGTGGGGAACAGGCAGCAGCAGAACTTCCTGGAGACTGGGTTTCCATTGGTCACAGCACTCAATGGCTTTGGTATTCTGTATATGCAAGGTAATGAATAATGATCTATGATGCAAAGCACAGTACTTGTTTGACATATGGAAACTAATTTATGTGCATAACCTGTTTTATTTAATAACTATGTTCTACATCCAGCAAGCAAGTGAGCTGGCGCACAAGGTACTTGGTCCTGTCTGATTGGACAAGAAGATTCATATTTGGGAGGGATTCAAGTCGAGTTTAATTTGATTAACAAGCAAACCAAGTCTGAATTATTTTGTGGCACGTTGTTTCTCTCTGTTAATTCTTGTACCTAATTTATAGTGATATTCTGATGAAACATGGGAAATGTCACTCAATCGTTTTTTTTTTTGTATGTAAAACTTAATATTTCGGTTCAAAAAAATCAATTGATTTGATTTGATTAATATTGAAATCAACTTTTACTTAATTGCCACCAAATTTTAGCAAACAATTCCATCGAATTGAGTATGATTGTATGTGTCATAATTGGCGAATTCGTAGGTTCAATTCCTACTGGGTGCACGTCAATGGGCTATTCTGGATGTACAATGCTATTTCGGTAGTAATATTTCATTTCAGTTGGAAAATGCAGTCAGACATAGAAATTATAAGAATATATAGAGATAATTAATCTCTTTTTATTTCACAAAGAAGATTCAATTAGTTATGAAATATCATTAACTCTATGTGTGTTATCAATATCTCTACGTGCGATTCGTTGATACATAAACTTTTTGATACTATTGCCATACTCCTCGCTTTTTAGTACTTTATAGCAAAATAGCAGGAAAAATTAAAATCAAATCATTCTTTGTCTATAAAAGGAAGGGACAGGTTACGTTTACAACTTTTTTTGTTTACGACTCTTACAATCTCAACTATGTTCTTCCGGTAGTACACTCCAGTAGTGTACTTCCGGGAGAATATAGTTGAGGTTGTAAGAGTTGTAAACAAAAAAAAGTTGTAAACGTAACCATCTTCTAAAAAGAATGACCAAAAACTTAGCATAAAGGAATACTGAAATATTCAATACTATATTTGGGAGGGATTTAAAGCGTTAATTCTGAACTCGTTTCAAATTACGGATTAGTCCATAGAAAACTTATGGGATTATTGGGGAGACTTTCCAAAAATTGAAATAATAAAATATAGGTTTTAATGTTTTTACTGTGAATGCAGATAAGTTATTTATATTTACTTCTAAAACGATATTTTTTTGGGTTGAAAGATTAAAAAATTATAATAATAAATACTATTATAACTTTAGAATAAATTATAATCATAAAAATATCTTGATTTCCGTCATAAAATGACATTATTTTGAGCTTAATATAAATAATTTATATGCATTTACAAAATAAAAAACAAACCCTGAAATATAATAGGCAAATGCTATTCAAGCATGACATAGAAAAGATTACAATTGTTTTTTTGCATGATGTTGCATGCTTCGTTACATAATGATCCGATAATTAAGCCGTCAAAGCGCAATGTAGCTTGAACCTTGAAGTCTCCGATTTAACGGACAGTTCCCACTCCATTCGCAGGTTATCCTGCATTATTGTTATTGCTATTTTTCTTCGGTCATTTTTGCAACACCTTTTGTTTTCGGCCATCCATTCTTCAACGTGTTCAAACTCCGTATACACTGGAGATCTATATATTATTCCTTTTACAAAACGTTTAAGTGTATTACTGCTCTTGATTTAACAAGTCAACATAAGAAAATTACGTTAAACAAAGAAAATGCATCACATATTACGTGGTAGTGCCTGGTGTCTCAGTGTTTAAAACTCTACCTGAAGAATATGTTACTCTTTCGTTTTTGCTAGCATTCATTGTCTTTTTTTCTTGTTTGCAAAGAAAGCAGAAGGAATCAAAAAGTGAAAAGGAAAAGGGTAACATTCAAAATTAAGGACTAAAGAAGATAGATTAGCTAGCTAGAGGTTTCACAATGCGTTGGTCTTCCTTCTACCACACAGCCTCGAGGGTTTTTCATGAGTATCCATCCTGGTCCAAGTGTGTTGTTGTATGCACTGTCATCAGGTCTTAACATATTCTCAAGCCTTATATTCTTGCCTTTTCTTTTTTTAAACTATTTGATTTATTATTCACTTAAAATATTATATATACACTTTGTTGTTGGAATTTGATTTTTTGTTGTTGTTATTTTTATCTATTTCCTTTTGGGGTTGCAGTGGTGGAGGTTTAGTGTCATATGGTGATGCAGGACCAGTACAAAGTGAATATGCTAATCAAAGCCAGAAAAAGAAGGTGGTGGTGCTTGGAACTGGTTGGGCTGGAACCAGTTTTTTGAAAAACATGAAAAGCTCCTCCTATGATATTCACGTGGTTTCACCACGTAACTATTTTGCATTCACTCCTTTGTTACCAAGTGTCACAATTGGCACAGTGGAGGCACGGAGCATTGTTGAACCTATTCGCAGTGTCGCCCGGAAGGTATTCTCTTTCCCATAAATAAATCATAGCTATTTTCATATATTTGGGGAAGGATCTTTTACAAACTTTTTTTACAAATTACACTAAGTATGATCAGTCATACACTAGTGTATGACCGGTCAGACATAGTGTAGTTTGTAAGAGTTTGTAAACAAAAAGTTTGTAAATATAACCTTCTCTATTAATCTTTATTTGTGAAATTTGAAGAATTTGAGTATGTGATTTGGGAGGATCTGGAATGTCTAACAGTTGATCAGTAATTGTATATTGGACCTGTACGCTTGTGGGGTCTACAGGAGAGATGTCATAACGTTAGAAATCGACAATCACACAAAATCGAGAAAACAGAAAAAGAGACAAGAGTAGAAAGATTGATACGATGATTTACCCTGGTTCACCCAATTAAGGCTATGTCTACATTCTCCTCACCGCCACTCGTTACAAGTCACTTGGTTTACAAGGAAAATATAAATAGGATTAGAAAACCCTAACAGCAGCTATTCATGGGCCCAAGCCCAAATTGCTAAGAAAATTACAATAAAACAGAGGCCCACATCAGTACCTAGCCTCTACGGGCTTGGGGGCGCTGCCCCCCGGACCCCCGCCGGGGCGGCTTCCCCGGAACTCCGCCCGCTCACCTGGGAGCGGGACCCCAGTTGTCTTTCTGCGGATCCCAATAACTAAGGCCCGCATCAGCATGCGAAGTATGAGCCATACCCAACACATAAGAGGTGACAGATCACTGTATACAATAATAGAGAAGTGCATGCAGAGTGACCGCTAAGAGAGTAGGAATTAAAGAATGTGTACTTGAGAGGCTTAACCTTTTATTTACAGGAGAGATTACATATAAGTGAAGAGTCTAGTAGGAGTTAAACTCTTAGGAGGATAGGATAAAGCATCTTATCTCTTATTTCTTAGGTTTATCACTTATCTTAGTTTATTGCTTCTAGAAGCAACGGGAACACATCTCATCATGCAATCAAATTTAAGTTTGTCATTTTGAATATTTTTCTATGTCTATGCATTTACACAAGCCTCTAAGTATGAAACATTATGTTTGATAAATTATGCCTGATGTTATAGCTTCGAAAATATATTTAGTCAAACCATAGTTATAGTATACATAATTTATATAAGACAAATCTGTTTCACGCCCTGCAACAGAGTGGTGTAAATATACAATTCAGTGAAGCTGAATGCTATAAGATCGATCCCAAGAACAACAAAGTTTACTGCCGTGCTGGTCAAGACAAAAAGCTGGGTGGTCTAGAAGAATTTTCCATTGATTATGATTACTTGGTAATAGCTATGGGAGCCCGTTCTAATACCTTTAACACACCCGGTGTTGAGGAGCATGCTCACTTCCTTAAGGTATATATGTAATTTCATGTCACTTGCTGAAGAAAGAATCTCTGGACTACATATTCATATATCAACTTACACCGGTGTATGTCTTACCCCATTATTAGCCATTGAACCCACTTGCATATCTAATGACTCTAATTTATTAGTCATGTGAGTCGTAAGATGCAAGTGAAATCAACGACTAATATTGGGGATGAACCTTATTTTTATACTGGTGTAAGTTGATCTCCCCTCTGTACGTGTATATATACATAAATCCATTTAATTGCATGATAAACTAAACTGTTATTGAATCTCTCTATAGGAAGTGGAAGATGCTCTAAGAATTCGTCGAAAAGTGATTGACCTTTTCGAAAGAGCGAGCCTCCCTACTTTACCAGTGGAAGAGAAGAAAAAACTACTCAGTTTTGTAATTGTTGGTGGTGGTCCAACTGGAGTAGAGTTTGCTGCAGAGCTTCATGACTTCGTACATGAGGATATATCTAAATTATATCCTTCTCTTAAAGAATATGTGAAGATTACTCTCCTGGAGGCAGGCGATCATATCTTGAACATGTAATTTTTTTTTAGCTCTATTAGGATATAAATGTTATTGCCTGATTGGAGTGAAAATGAGCATGTAAAAATTGACAACATATTTGAATGATATAAGGTTTAAATATGGTGTCAATTTTCACCTCATTATTTTTCTACCTGAACATTTTCACTATAATTAGAGAGTGAACCATGGAGCAATGGTAATGTTGCTTCTTTTGATTAGAAGGTCACAGGTTTTAGTCTGGATACAGTTTCTTTTGAAAAAAAAATGCAAAGGTAAGGATGCGTACCTCTACTCTCACAAGTCGGAAGCCTTGTGCACCGGGATTTGCCTATTACATTTTCGCTCTAATTAAGCATTCTCTTTATCCATTTGCAATTTGACTTCTCTTTTGTTTTATTTTGATCTAATTTTTATGTGTGCATCTATGACTTAATTTCTTGGTTCATTGCAGGTTTGACAAGAGAATTACGGAATTTGCTGAAGGGAAGTTCCAGAGAGATGGCATTGATGTGAAGTTGGGATCTATGGTGGTCAAAGTTAGTGAAAAGGAAATCTCTGCCAAAGAAAGAGGAACTGGTCAAGTTGTTTCTCTACCTCATGGAATGGTAGTTTGGTCAACTGGTATCGGTGCTCGCCCTGAATTACTTGATTTCATGAAGCAGATTGGCCAGGTTTGTTTCACTGTGTTCCTCTTAATCCAAAGGTTAAGCTTAGAAGTCAGTCACAATCACTGTTCAAATTTTTCTTGCCTTGAATTCTTTGTGTGACAGATTAACAGACGTGCATTAGTCACTGATGAATGGCTAAGGATGGAAGGATATGACAACATCTATGCTCTAGGTGATTGTGCCACTATAAATCAGCGTAGAGTTATGGTACGTTCAGTCTATGCATTGATTATATGTCTATCAGTCTATCTGTATAGATCTTTCAATTCCCCCTTTTTTTTTTTTTAAAGTTTAAACTATGTTTTTTCATTTAGCTTATAGTATTATGATATGATTATGGAATGAAAACAGTTTGTAGCTACCCCGTTATAATTCTTGTTGATCATTAACATGCTATTTTTGCTAGAAATCATTGACACTTTATAAGAGCACTTATCAGTGTCCTTCCTTTGTCTGTCATGGTTTTACCAGGAAGATATAGCTGTGATATTTAGCAAGACAGACAAGAACAATTCTGGAACGTTAGATCTTAAAGAGTTTCAAGACGTTGTTGGTGACATTATAGAGAGGTACCCACAAGTGGAGATTTATTTAAAGAAGAACCAAATGAAAGATATCGCCACACTGCTAAAGCAATCTCAAGAAAGCTCTGTTTCAGTGAACATTGAATTCTTTAAAGAAGCTCTTTCCAAAGTAGATTCTCAGATGAAAAATCTTCCTGCAACAGCTCAGGTACATGTTATGTTACATTACTACTTTTCTATACTTTGTATATTTCCTACTAAACAATTAAGGGTCATGTTACTTATGCTTTGGTGGTGGCTTCCAATCATTCTAGGTAGCTGCTCAACAAGGTGAATATCTTGCAGACTGTTTCAATCGCATGGAGTTGTGTGAGAAGTATCCTGAAGGCCCTCTTAGGTTCAGGGGGACAGGACGCCATCGGTTTCATCCCTTCAGGTATGGAGAAGTTTTGCCATGTCCTGTGGTGTCCTTTTCAATCTTCCAATATAGCCAAATACTCTATGAAGGTAATGTCAGCATAACCAACTACCAACTAGCAACTAGCTAGTATTAATAGAGAATATAAGGACTAAGGCAATTTTCAAATAACCTATTTGATGTGACATAAAGTATGGTTAATTTAGTTACATAAATAGTTTTAAGTGGTTAAATCTGATGGGACTTGTTTCTCCTTGATACTTTGGCGGCTAATCATCAATTGTGCAAGGTTCAATGTCTCGAAAACAATCCCTAATGATTGCAGAGTGATCTAGAACATAGAAGAATGTGTCTTCCCCATCTATAAAATAGGAAGAAATCAGAACCTAAAAAGAAAGAGATAGAAAAGTTAGAAGAACACATGTAAGTGTGTAGATTTCCTCTTCCTAAGAGCAGAGAGTATTCCTCTATTGTGAGAGAAAAATCTTTATATTTCATCCTAAAGAATGGGTGAGAAAATTGTGTGTAATCCTCTAGTTGTATAGTAGGGAAGAACTACTTGTAATCCTATTCTAAATAATGCACGTTTTCTGGACTACGTACCATGATTGTGTGTGCACTCTTTCTTCATCTCTCATACTTTCTGAATTCGCATTATCTGAGTTCCAAGTTTCGAGTTGTCATACTCTGCACTCATTAGACGGACCTAGGCCCAACAAAATCAGTTAAACAAACAGTTAATGAGTTTGTAGTGGACCATATATATAAACAAGTGGTTAATTCAGTTTGATATTTGGTTAATTTGTGTGTATGTAATTAACCATAATATTTGTACCTATAACATCCAAGTTCTTCATTGCCTAATTTCTTACTCACTTGATGAAAGGTACAAGCATTTTGGACAATTTGCTCCTCTAGGAGGAGAACAAACTGCAGCTCAGCTTCCAGGAGATTGGATTTCAATTGGTCGTAGCTCCCAGTGGCTGTGGTATTCAATATATGCTAGGTAATCTTAATCTACTCTAACACAAAATTGATTTTAAAAGCTTAGTGTTACTATGCATTCATTCATCCTCTAACAACTCCCAAAACATAACAGCAAACTAGTCAGCTGGAGAACAAGGACATTGGTGGTATCTGATTGGGGAAGGAGATTCATATTTGGCAGGGACTCAAGTCGAATCTGAGATACAATTGAAAGCTTGCATTACACTTCATATAGATTTCTTGGCACAGCAAAAAAGAACTGGGTGTTTGCTTTTCTCATTCAAAAAATATTTTCTTTTTGTCCCAATCTTGCAGAAATTTAATAGTACTGATCAGTAACCCTATGTTTTAATTTGGTTTTGGTTGCTAAACAAAAGAAAGGTCACATTTACAAGCTCGACTTCATCTTGTTGCAAAATTGCAACAAATCTCCAAGGTGTTGTTCATGGAATAAGAATCAAATGTGCAATTTATATAAGAAAGTTGTTAATGTTTCCTAAAGGTTTGATGGGTTGTTCCAGCAAATAATTTTTTAACTCAGGATATGTCTGAATTCCCTTATAAAAAAAAAAAGGCACAAATTTCTCGGGGAAATTTCATTTTGTTCTGTACAACTTACACTTTACAAGATCAAAGCTTTAAAACATCATCATTCTCTTCGAACAACATAATTACAAATTCAACTCCGAAACCCAGCTTGGACCGATCCAACTCGGTCAACCGCTGAGTCAACCACCGAGTCAAGAGAAGACGCAGAGCCGAGTCAGCTACCCTTGACCCCAGCAATTCAAGTACATAACTTTCCGGAGAGAATCGTCAACTTGGCCAAGTCTATCCTCCACGTCACCGTTCCGGTTGACTCCACCGGACAACGGTCCTAGCTCCGACGAATCTCCGGCGGCGGAGAAAAACCTTCTCCGGTTCTGGGGAACGAACTTGAGGCCGGTCTTACACTTGGGGTTGCCGGCAGGGTCGGTGTGGCCCTGCGCCGCCGCGTCACCTGTGGCCGTCATCCAAACACGGATCAAGTAACTCATCTCTTGGTATTCGGATCCTCCGACGTTGTTCTGGACGAGGAAAGGGGGGTTGTGTGCGTGTGTGGTTTTATAGACAAAACCGGAGGCTAAGGGCAATGGTGGTTTTGCAACTGGTGGGGCCCAGAGGGGGATTGGAGGAAACAGAAACAGGTGGCGGGCTTATCTGAAGAGACATGGATGACTCATACATTTACAATGATCATGTTTTGTCTCTTTTCTTTTCTTTGGGTTTCATTCATTTTCATTTTCTATTCTCTCTCCTCCTATGGATAATGATGTCCTTCTATCAATGTTATTAAACCCTCCATCGACTCGGGGTAACGTGTCTTACTAATTTAATCAGTGAATTATTAATTGAACTGTTTAAATTAAGTTTACATAAGGATATATATATATATATATATATATATATATATATATATATATATATATAACAATGAAATTAATTTAATTTTGTGTTTAGTATGTCACTTTCCTTACTTCAAATCTCAGGAGTAGTGAAATATTTTGTCATAATTTTCAAAACTCCCCAATTGATTAGTATCATCAATTCTTAACTGGGTTAAATGTATGATTGGTTAATTGATTAAACTGGATCAATTAGAGATTTGGATTCAGGTTTAATGGATCGAATCGGTTTTAAAAACATTATCTTCTATACTTATTTTTCTTTGTATATGGGAATAGATTTTTTTTTATATTATTTAGGGAAAAGTTCACTAAAACTCCAGAATCACTTATGTCCCTGTGATTTTTCTCTTATCACATATGTCCCTGTAATTTGTAAAAAGATGTTTTTTTATCACATATGCCCTTGTGGTTTCTTAGTTTTTACAAAGCACAAAGCATATGTGATTGAAAAAAACCACAGGGACATAAGTGATTCTGGAGTAAACTATAGGGGCATTGGTGAACTTTTTCCTATTATTTAATATGATCATGTTATATGAAAAAAATTTAATCATACAAAAATGAATTAATATAAATAAAAAAGAGAAAAAAATATTAATAATTATAAAATCATAACAATTAATTTACTCTTAAATTATTAAAAATTTACTACATAACATAATGGTGTTAAAGAACACATAAAAGTGCCGCTCACTGCTTATTTTGTTTATGTGGGACACCAATCACACCATGATTCACACCTTTAGTATCATTGTTTAGATCCACGAGAAATTACTTCGTTATCTATTTTTTAATTCAGGCCAAGATTCTGAAATTGATCTAATCATTAAAGACTTAAAGTGGTTCAAGGACGTTGGCTATTTTTCAAAAAAATAAATAAATAAATTGGTTGAAGGATTAATTTAAAAATAATATATCTCTTCTGTAGCATGATAATCAAAATTTATGCTGAGCCCACTCTTGGAAAAAGAAAAAAAAAGGTCTGGCATGTTTTTCGATGGATATGCAGAATTTTTTTTTATCTCTTCTATTACAAGAAAAACATATAACCCCTAATTTAATATTCAATAATTAAATTATAATTAAATTAAACGAAGAAAATTAAATTGAAAAAGCCGCATTAAATATGAATTGGACGGTGTTAAAATCAAATTAAACCGATTTGAATATAAAAAATATAAGTAAAAACATAATAATTTTATAGTTATATATACTAATTAAACAAATAACAAATAATACATATGAGTTTATCATTTTTCCTGTAACAGAAAATAAAGTTATTTTCTACAATTTTAAAATCACATAATTTTGAGGATTAGGAGAATCAATAAGGGGTGTTTTGATAAAATTTATATTATAAAAAAGATTAAAATTATCAAAACACCCATCATTAATTCCCACAATACTTGTAAATATATCAAAATTAAAATGATTAAAAACTAAACATGTAATTATATATAAAACATGAGATTGGTTATATTTACAATCAGTTAACACTTACTAACATCGTACTACTATTTTTGTTTCCATCATATATATCAACAAGGGAAAAAGTTAAATCTGAATTTGATCCTCCCCAGTGCCATATTTAGAAGGGGTTTAAAATCTTAATTCTAAACTTTCCCGAACAAAATTGTTTCTCATGGAAAATATCTGTGGTTTAGCCAAAAAGGTTGCAGTTGTTCAATCTGAATTTGATCCCATAATAATAAAGATGATAGTATGAATAAGGAAAAAATATTAAGTAATTGTTTGATCATAAAGATTTAAATATTATCTAATAAATTAATTAAATTATTAAGAGCACAAATAATTTTAGAGTATATATATGATAATATCATGTTATTTATATTTTATTTTTATTTTTATAAAGACAAATAGTTATCATAATACTCTTATCAAATACTTTCTTTTAATAAGAAAATTAAACTTTAGAGGCTGGTTCATGATAAATATGAAGCTATTAGCCAACTAACTAAGATGGTTTAGTGTTTAATTTATGGGTTAAAGACTTCTCATGTCACATAAGAAGAATATCTTCTCTTATATAAACAATGAACATGTGGGTCTCATTGAGAAGAGGAAAAATAAATTTTTTTCAATGGAACTCACGTATTTGTTGTATGTGTAGGAGAAGAGAAGTCTTTAACCCTTAATTTATTGCTTTCATAAGTAAAGTGTCTAAGCTCAATTTGTCAGTGAACTAGATCCTGATTCGGTGGGATTGGTCAGCTCAATTCAGTTTTTAAAATGATATATACATATGCATACACACATATTATTCGTTGGTAACAAATATTAGTTAGTTTAGAAGTTGTATAAATAAATATTAGACCATCTTTATAATTCAAGAAGAAAATTGCATCACTTGGATGTATATTGTTTATTTTAATATTTGTTGGACTCAAAAATAAAAAATTGTATTCTATATCATTTTTTTATGTTGGGTCTGACCCAATTAATGAGTGTCTTAATCTCTTGTTTATAAGAGATACTTAGATGTTGAGCCGTCAGAGCCAAGAGAGAGAAAATAAAGACAGACGCGAAGAAAGAGAAACGCATAAGAGAAAGCGCAAGTCAGAGATGAAGATCCTTTAAGGAAGAAATCCAACGTCATTGCTGAAGAAGAAGAATACCTGTAGAGTAGGAATCTATATCCCTTTTACAAAGAGAAACACTTGTTTGAGGCACTTGTTTGAGACACTTGTCTAATCCATCCTTTTATAGGGTGAAGACCTTTGGTTATTAAGTCAGAGTAAATCTTTTGTGTAATCTCATTTTTTATAGTAAAAGTTTTTGAACTTGGTCCCGCGGTGTTTACTCTTGACATCGAAGAAGTTTTTCATGTTAAATTTTTTGGTGTTATATGATTTCCTTATCTCTGTTTATTTTTGTTTTTGTTCATCAGTGTCTGCAAGCCGACCTTCTTGCCGACCTGAAGAGGGTTGGCCTATTTTACATAGAGGATGGGCTACAAACTATCGGACTTTGAGACACAATAGCAGTATCAAAGCTCTTAGATCAAAGACTTTGTGAGGTCACAGATGGAGGGTGCTGTAGCGCATAATGGTGACATGTTCAAACTCACCACAGAGAACTACTCATATTGGAAACCTATGACGGAGGATCATCTTTGTTGCAAGGATTTATATGAACCTATTATGAGCATAGATAAGGCAGAAGGGAAGAGCGATAAAGGGTGGGATTTCCTGAATCGGAAGGCGGTCGCAATGATCTACAAGTATATGACAAGAGCTTGTTCGAGCACGTGTCGACCAACATAAATGCTCACGAATTGTGAACTAATCTGGAATCCTTAAGTTAGAAGAAGACGCCAAGAAAGGAAGCACACTTGGTAAGTCGACTTGTAAAGTGGACTACATGGATGGGCAAAGCATGATTGAGCATCTGAATACATACAAGAAAATTGTTAATCAATTGAAGATTGATATGAAGATTGATGACGAGTTGCAAGCACTTTTGCTACTCAGCTCGTTGCTTGAGAGCTGGGATACTTTGGTGGTGACACTTAGCAACACGGCCCCAGAAGGAAAGATGAAATTAGACCAGTTGCAGACAGTTTGCTGAATGAAGAAGCTAGGAGGAAAGAACAGGTATAACCAATCAACATAAAGCGAATGTTGTCAAAAATCGTGGAAGAACAGCACACCAAGGAAGAAGTAAAAGCTGATGTTGAGACAAGTCTGGAGGTCAATCAAAGCCAAGATCGGATTTCACATGCTTCAATTGTGGAAGACCGGGTCATTGGAAGTTTGAATGCCAGACTTTGAAGGACTAGAGGACAAACAATGTCAAGTCGAATGCGATAGATCCGAGGAAGAAAGAAGAGCATAACACCACGATCGTAACAACCAATGTCGAGATTGATGTCTTCCTGATTGGTAAAGATAACTATCTGAATGCAGCTTATGATGACTATTCATGGGTAGTGGACTCAGGAGCATCCTTCCATGTCACCCCTCACAACGAGTTTTTCTCATCATATCAAGGCGACGACTTTGGTATTGTGAAGATGGATAACCAGGTTACAAGCAAGATAATGGGACTTAGTGAAGTCACGATGATGACTGCCGTGGGCTATAGACTGGTTTTGAAGGAGGTCAAATGTGTTCTTGATATGTGGCTCAACCTCATCTCGACATGTATGCTTGATAAAGTCAGGTTGCTAAATTACTTCGGTGTAGGAAGATGGAAACTCGTCAAAGGTAACATAGTGGTAGCCCGAGGTAAGAAAGAATTATCTCTCTATGTTATGCAAGGAAAGTTCGGCAATGCATAGATCAATGTTATCCAGGATGAGTTAAGTCTGGAGCTCTGACACAGGAGACTCAGATACATGAATGAGAAATGTCTGCAAATTCTCACCAAGAAGGAACTGTTTCCAAACTTGAAAGGTCGACTCTTAGATACATGCACACACTATTTAGCCAGCAAACAATGTCGAGTTTTATTAAGGAGGATGGAATAACCTAGAAGAAGGAGGTATGCTCTTGATCTTATTCACACTGACGTGTGTTCTATGTCAGAAAAATCTCTAGGTGGTGCATATTACTTCGTCACATTCATTGAAGATCACATGAGAAGAGTGTGGGTGTCCTTGCTAAATATGAAAGATCAAG